TTGTTGTCGGTAGCCGTCAAAAATTTTTACTTATCTTCTTAATACTAATATCGCAATGAAAATCATTAATCTCAGACTTTGGCACACGATTTTCTGTCCGAATTCTAAGATACTTATTTTCCCACTTCACAAACTGCTCTTCACCGCAAATTTTTTAAAATACATACAATTGGGTTGCCCTAACTGGCACTAAGTTTCGTACCCGTGATTTTGTCATTTGTTTATAATAAGCATATGTCTTAAATGTTGAAAAGTACCAGTATTACTTTGATTTTGGAACGTGGTTATCGTCTTTATTTTACGTTTAATTATTTATTTATAGTTGTGTTTGGCTTAATTTTGTTTTGCTTACTGCATTGCCATCCGGCGACATACTATCCTCCAAATCCAGCCCACGATCACTACCTGATCCGGATTCTCGTGCCTCACATTCTCTAGGCGTGCTCAACTCTCTCCCTCGCTACACTCGCGGAGGTTATGGTCTTTTTCGCGGCTTTATCTCCACCAAAGTTGCCCAGCATGGCACTGCTGTGCGCTCTGGTTTCGCTACTCTTTTATCCCCTGAATTAACCAGCTTTGGTTTCCTCCGGCCATATATCTTCTCTGGCTACACACATCTTGTCATTCGGTAGGTCGGCAAGATATTTACTTCTTTTTATCTCCAAAACTTGTCAGTTTTCTGTAATCATGCTTTATGAATTATATGAAAGGTTAAATATTGGCCTCTTCGCCCCCGGTGATTAACCGCCTCTCTAGCAATAAATAAGAGTCTTGTCGATATTTTGCCATTTTATCTCATTAATTTGATTAACTTTAGCTAAATTAAGTAATATCAGTCTATTTTGGCATCAACCAGCTAGTTTACTTCTAATCCACCTTCTTTTTTATGCATAGCATGGATATATTCATATCAAATTCATTAATTATTTTGAAGTATTTTTCTATTGCCATATCGACATTCTGTTACCCTTTCTCATCTATTACTGAAAATATTGCTATCTATAGGAGAAGAGGGCTATTTATCTTAAGTAAATTTAATTTTTATGTGTATAGTAGTTGTTTTACCTTATTTTCACAATTTGGTAATATTGGCAGGAAGACCTAGAAAGATGCAATTTATCCTGATTCCATAATATGCATGATAATTTTCAGTCGGACCGTGTCCTTGGTACATTTCCAGATGTTTCGTCGGCATCGTAGCCGCAATCGTCAGTGAGTCTTGCCATTTTAAGTACCAAGCTACGACTCGTCAAAGAAACAAGTAAAGCCTTCCTAAAGCATAAGCAAGTAGTGAATACAGGATAAAACTAGCTCTATACAGCGAAAGGAGATTGTGATCGAAGTAAATGCAAAACTAATTTGGACTTCCTATCTATGAACAATATTTCTTGCTTTATTTTCTCAATGTCCACTCTAAACATAGCAAATTCTGGTATTGGTTTGACTTCGTTTTTGTAAATTGGTAAAAGCGACAGGAAGACCTTCTGGAACGTACCTAGTCCTGCATCCCCTGCCAAAGTACTATATAAAGTAAAAATTCTTGTTAATTTTAACTCTGTGCTAAGATTAGCACAGATTAATTTGGAAATATACCAAGTCAATGATCCGATAATGGAAATGATTGTGAATACTATGGAAGAAGGCGCAAGACTGGGTGCGTTCCACAAGGCTTCCCTGTCGTCCCGACCAAGTTGTGAAAACGAGGTCATATAACTTAATTTCTTTATAAAGTTTAGTAAGGAATGAAGCAGATTGGTGAAGCTGAGGGCCAATGATGCTAGACAATTGCCAGTGAAAGTTAAATTAATTGAGGCAATTAGCAAAAAATTAGTAGGTAGGGTGGAAGTAGCATCGTTTAGCACTAAAAATGAATAGTTTTCAAACCTATTATTCGTGTAAATTTGCAGTAGGGGCTGATAATAAGTAGTACACATTTATTTAGTGGTAGATAACAGATTGCTGATGGAGCACTGACAGTTTGCTCAATAAAATACGAAAAAAAACTATTATAAAGTTCGGATCAAATTAATGAGATTAAGGCGGAGAAATTAATCGAAGGTATGAAGACCAGAATGGTGCGGCCTTTTGTATTATCGAGGTCTCCTTTCGGAGTATAGAAGTTGTTTGAATTTGTTTTCGCAACTTGGCCATATTGGCAGAAAGACCT